GATGCCCGTCCCCAAGGTCAGAGTGCAATGCAGAGACGATCACCTGGGCTCTTCCTGCCTGTGAACATTGCCGGCTGGTACCTGTACTCCTCGTTTCTCTACTTTTGGTTATGAATGTTGGGGTTACCACCTGCATTTAGGGGAAATTGTGTTCTGTGCTTTCTGGTTTCTTGTTCTGAGGTACACTAGTTCTGTCTTTCAACCAAGAAAATAGATTTGTGGTGTTTCTTTTCCTGAACTTAACAGTCTCCTTAGCAAATACAGGTAGTTGAATAATTGTTTCAAGAGCTGAACAGTGACAAGCTTCATTTCTAGAATAAGACATTTCTCAGCAGCTGTATCATGTAAAATGGATCTTTTGGGGGTTTTTTTGTTTTGTTTTGTTTTGTTTCCCTTTTTTCCCTTGTGTTCTTCCAAGCTTCTGGTTAGAGAAAAAGCGGGGGTGGGGGAGGAAAATGTGTCTAAAGTCCATCAGTGTTAACTCCCTGAGACAGGGATGAAGGAGAATACTTTAATAGTTCAAAAAATAATAATGCTGAAAGCTCTCTACGAAAGACTGAATGTAAAAGTAAAAAGTGTACATAGTTGTAAAAACAAAAAAAGGAGTTTTTAAACATGTTTATTTTCTATGCACTTTTTTTTATTTAAGTGATAGTTTAATTAATAAACATGTCAAGTTTATTGCTGCACTCTGCCTCGATTCCTTTGGCCTCGGTGGGGGTGGGGAAGGGAGGGGCTTGTGAATGAGTTACCGGTGCCTTCCCACCTCCCTTTTTTTTTTTTTTTTTTTTTTTTTTTTTTGGTTTTTCGATCAACCTCTCTTCTTTAAGATGGTTCCCTTGCCTGGAGTGTCCTCCACTGAGCAGCGATGTGTATCGAGGACCTCACAGATTCTGGGTCGAAGGACTTCCTTTCTGTCTACCTATCTCCTCTAATAGGTTAGTGGTTTCTAACCCAGCCATAATAAAATGAAAGCATTTGGTAGCCTCGGTGTTCTACTCCACCTTAAGACTGAAACAGGATTTGTTTATTCTGTGTTAGGGGTATGGGTCCAGTTGGGAAATACTGTATAACTACCAGGCCAGGTCACTAACCCTAGCCATGGAGGCTGAGCCAAGGGCTGGAAGACACTCCTTCTGACTCGGGGGTGGTCCCCAAACAGAACCTCCTCCATTCACAACTACCAGCCAAAAGCCCTACCCTGTTCCCCATCTTCCCTTGTACCCTGAGTTACCTTTTGGGACTTTGGGAGCTGAGCACCATGGGGAGTCCAAATGATCAGGCAGTGCTGCAGGCCATCTTCAACCCTGATTCCCCGTTTGGAGATGTCATTGGCTTGGACCTAGAAGAAGCAAAGAAAGAAGATGAAGGTAAATCTTTGACCCTGGCATCTCCCTCTCCATAGGCCGGCTGGCTGGCGCCTGAGGTGAAGGATGTGGTGAGGCAGGACCCCTCACTCATTCCACCCTTGCAGATTATGTCTGCGATTGGAACCAGAGAGGTCCTCTAAAGTTCAGGGCTTAGGGTTGGCAGGAATCGCTCTGCCAGAGAAGGCCAGAGTTTCTCAGTCATTCAGCCCTCATACCACTAAACTAATCTTCCCATGATTCGAGCATAAGTGCTGGCTGAAGTCAAACTCGCAAAGCTTTGACATAAGGGATGTTACACACACCCTCCCCCGCAGCAACAAGGGTGGAGGACCAACCGGGCGGGATGGCGGCTTGACACACCCGAGAGCTAGCTAGCTCCCCCCCTCCCCCTCCCCCCCCAGGGGGGAACAGCGGGGGGCGGGGGGGGGGCATTGCCTGATAATGAAGATGGTCGGGGCTTTGCTTCTGCAGGAGTTGAGCCTTACCACAGCCTCAGGCTGAAAATCTGAAGGACAGATCTGGAGTGATTTTCACAACCTGGGACTGTTATGGTGGCCTTTGTGTCAAAGGCAGTGTGTAAAGCAAAATGAGGACAAGCAAAAGAGCCAAAGAGAAGGGTTCACATCTAAGCTCCACAACCTGGGACTGTGGTCTAGAACAAGTCACCAATGTACAAGTGTCCCTTTCTCGGGTCTCTTAGTGCTAGTTCGCAGTTTTCATGACCTCAGCTACACCTCTCCCTCCCTGACTCCGCAAGTTACCTCTGCTGTGATTCACACCCGGGCAGCTCTGGTTCAGGTGCCATAATGCTGAAGCCCAAGGTGTCTTTTCATTTTCTCCCCCACTGCACACGTCGCCACCTTGTTTCTTGCCCGGTGCAGATGGAGTTTTCCCTCAAGCACAGTTGGAGCAGGCCAAGGCCCTGGAGCTGCAGGGAGTGAGGGCCGCCGAAGCTGGGGACCTCCACACAGCCCTGGAGAGGTTTGGCCAAGCCATTGGCCTGCTACCTGAGAGAGCCTCTGCCTACAACAACCGGGCTCAAGCCCGGCGGCTCCAGGGGGATGTAGCAGGTGAGGGGAAGACACCGGAGATTCTCCACAGAAAGAATCCCTTCCATGAAGGGCAGAGATGAATTGGCTGTGGGGTGAGAGCACAGGAACAGAAACCCTAAACTCCCTGACACCCATGTTCTTGCCTATAAAATCCAGGACAGGGTATGGATTCTGCTAGCTTCATGAAATTGTTAGGAAAACCAAGAGGCTACATTCTGTTCATGAACTTAAGGAACATTTAATAAGAGCCTTCCAGGCAACAATAAGCTAGAAGTAGAGGGCGCGAGGATAAAAGATTTATATAGCAGTCACTGTGGATAGGCATGATGTACTCAACTAGGCTGTACTAACAATCCTCATGACCACCCGAAAAGGTATGTGTTGTCATTCCATTGTGAAGATGGAGAAAAGGAAGCATACAGAGGTTAAATAGCTTCCCCAGTGTCCTCCAGCTGAGGGGTGGCGGGGCTCTAAATCCCATGGTACTGCTCCCCAGGGAACTCATAACTAGGCTAACAGCGGGCACATTTGAGAGAAAGCAGCGTTAGACCTCTTCCTGAAGGGCAAGTTCTGAAAGATGAGGAATCAGTTGATACAGTCTGCAGGAGCCTAGAAAGCATGCCTAGGTCCGAGGAGCCTCAGCTCTCCAGGCTGGCTGCAGCAGCCCCCATGGAAGGATGGAAAGCGGAGCTTTGCAGAAGTGTGCAGAGACCCGAGGGTGACAAACTACAAGTGTCAGACTGAGAAGGTGGTCGTCACTCAAGGATTTAGCTTGGCCAGAGAAGGTAACTGGGATCAAACCTGGTGTATTCAGGTTACTGTGACTAGAATGGGGATCATGGGACAGAAAGGAATAGTACTAGGGATTGGAGGCCAGGTGGGTGTGAAGTGTATGTAAGCCAGAGACCTGGTAGAGAACCAGGTCATAGATAGGACTAGTTGGCAGGGGTGTCCTAGAACCTAAACTAGAGAATTGGACTCCATTCTAATGACAGTAGAAGATACCCAAAGAGCTCCTTTTGTAGGCTTGTCTGCCATAGGCTGTTGGTGAGAGCCTGCAGATGGAAAGCGGGGTGTCAGAGGTGACTCCACCTGTAGGGGCTTTGGATTCCAGCAGACTAGCCGTGGAGAGGGAAACTGAGCAATGCCTGGTCCCAGAGGGGCTCAGTTTGCAGTCTGGGTTGGGTAGGGAGCGTAGCTCTACTGTGTTTCCTGAACCAGAACTAGCCTTTCTCTGGGATGGTGCTGAGCAAAGCCAGGGGCCTGGCAGCCACTTTAGGAGACTATAGAGAATATGGATTGAAGCAGGGTCCAGAGACAGCAGCTGGTGGACTTCACAAAACCCCCAAACTGGCTGCCTGAGGTTCTGAGTTCTGAGACTCAACCCAAGTACATTCCTCTGAGAATCACAAAAATAAAACAGGGCAGCCAGCTCTGGCTCCACGACCTTCTTCCAGTGAAATTAGATACAGGGTAATAAAGACCATGGAGATAATGAAGGAGGAAATGAGAAGAATGCCGCTTTCATAGCCTGCAGTAGAAAAGAGGGGAAAAGACGAAAAGAGGAGATTGACTTTATAGCAGGAAACCGTTGTGTAGCTAATGGTATGTTTCTTATTAACTTTAAGTGCGTTGGTGTGAAGGTGTCTGATCCCCTGGACCTGGAGTTATAGACGGTTGTGAGCAGTCAGTCAGTGCTCTTAACCGCTGAGCCATCTCTTCAGCCCCAATGATACGTTTTTTGAACTCTAGGATTCAGAGTGGGTCACCAAGCATACAGTAGATGCTTAGCTATTTATCCGCGGTGTGAGCCTCAGTTCTTTGGCAGTTGGCAGATTCACTAATACAATGACCAAATGCTCTCAGCAACATTCACGTTTGGGTCCATCAGTGGTAGAACATACCGGGGACGAGGCCAGGGCGAGCCTTGGACTTTAATCTCAGCTTTGCCCGTGGGTGGCCCCCAAGCCACGTCTATTAACCCGGCACCTCCCTATTAGGAATGACAATCCCTCTTGGCTCAAAAGTATGCCACACAAAGGCGGGTTGTGAATTGCGGGGATGGGCTGCTCAGCGGGTGGGCTGGGGCTCGGATGCCCGCACCCCGCTGACCCGCGCCATCCCCCCTCCCCCTCCCTCGTCGGCCCGCAGGCGCCCTGGAGGACTTGGAGCGCGCGGTGACATTGAGCGGCGGCCGGGGTCGTGCCGCCTGCCAGAGCTTCGTGCAGCGCGGGCTGCTGGCGCGATTGCAGGGCCGGGACGACGACGCCCGCAGGGACTTCGAGCAGGCGGCGCGACTGGGCAGCCCGTTCGCGCGGCGCCAGCTGGTGCTGCTCAACCCGTACGCCGCGCTGTGCAACCGGATGCTGGCCGACATGATGGGGCAGCTGCGCGCGCCCACCAATGGGCGCTGAGCGCGGCCGCGGGATGATGGAGAAGGGGAACCCTGACCCAACCAGGACCCAATAAAACTTCCTGGACTGCCGACTGCGTCTGCTTTGCGTCCGCCGACTCACCAGCCAGCCTCAGGGTGGGGACCCCGGAGCGGACGGGAGAAGGCGGGGCTGGAGCGGCCACCTGCCCGTACTCGGGCAGCGATTGGTCCTGCCTGGCGTGGGCCCCGCCCTTGCAGCGGACTGCGGCGCTCCCCAGATTTAAGCAATTGCTGGGGCGCTGCTCCGGGAGGGAGCCAGGTGAGCCAGGATGCTCCGAAGCCCCGGATGCTCCGCCGATTTCCCCCCCTCCCGCCCCCGGCTCCGCGATGCTCTCAATACAAGTCCACCTGAGCAGCGGAGATTGGGAAAGAGGTGCATGGCGAGAGCTGGGAGGGAGAGCCAGTCCAGGAGAGGACCGGGTCAGGAGAAGGACGATCCCATGGAGGAAAGGGGAAGGACGTGTGTGTGTGTGTGTGTGTGTGTGTGTGTGTGTGTGTTATGTGTCTGTCTGTCTGTCATCCCATGGAGGAAAGGGGAAGGACGTGTGTGTGTGTGTGTGTGTGTGTGTGTGTGTGTGTGTGTGTGTGTGTGTTATGTGTCTGTCTGTCTGTCATCACCTACTGTCAGTGCTGGCTTCTGTGCCCGCAGAGTGTCTCTCTTCCTTTGGATCTTGTTGATTGTGCCTGTTTGTGCCCGTGTCTTGGCCGCTGTGGGCCAGTCTACACCAGCGCATGGTAAATTCTTGCAGGAATTGCTAGACCTGCCTGGCTGGTACGGAGGCTATACCCTTTTCTCAGCAGCCTGGAGGTCGATCCCTGACCACCATGGAGTTGCCTCTAAGCCAAGCTACCCTCCGGCACACACTGCTGCTCCTGCCAGCCCTCTTAAGTTCAGGTACACCCCTGTTCATCCTTTGGCCAAACATTTAAGGGGCCAGAGCCCCCTCTTTGCTCTCCTTGTTGCCTCTCTTCTCAAAATACCCGCTCCAGGCCCCTGATCTGGGTTCCCCTATCCCCACATCCCTATCCTAAGTCCAGCCAGGCCCTGGTGAGAGAAACCAGCTTGCTTGTCTCTTGGCCTGCTGACCCTCTGTAACTGGTCTGTCTAAGCCCCTCCCAGAGGCTGCCTGCTGTGTTCCAGGTCAGGGGGAACTGGCGCCACAGATTGATGGTCAGACCTGGGCTGAGAGAGCACTTCGGGAGAATGAGCGCCATGCCTTCACCTGTCGGGTGGCAGGGGGATCTGCCACTCCCCGATTAGCCTGGTACCTGGATGGACAGCTACAGGAGGCCACCACTTCAAGACTACTGAGTGTGGGCGGGGAGGCCTTCTCTGGAGGCACCAGCACTTTTACGGTCACTGCCCAGCGTGCCCAGCATGAACTTAACTGCTCCCTACAGGACCCAGGGAGTGGCCGGTCAGCCAACGCCTCTGTCATTCTCAATGTGCAATGTAAGTATTCCTGAGGTGGGCAAGGAGAGACATTACTGGACCCCAGCAAGAGAGTTTTGAGTGTTGAGTGTTTCGTTTTGAGGCAGTCTTGCTACATAGCCTAGGCTGGCCTCAAACTTGCAAATCTGTCTCAGCTTCTCTAGTGCTGAGATTACTGGTATGCATGACACATTCAGCTTTAACCGGACATTCACAAACATTAAACACTTTGCAATGCAGCTTGCTTTATCCTCATTGATCTTATAAGGGAATTTCTATTTTTGTCCCTATTTTGCAAATGAGAAATTGAGGCACAAACATGTTAAACAGTCTGCCTAAAGTCATACAGACATAAAGAAGCAGGGCCAGGATGCAAATCTAGACCCTTTGGCTAGCTTTCTATTCTTTTTTATTTTTATACTTTGAGACTTTCTTCAAAGCTACTACATAGCCAAGGGTGACTATCAACTTCTGGTCTTCTTCTACCTCTCCAGTGCCGAGATCATAGGCAGGTGCAACCATGCCTGGTATGACTGAACCCAGGACTTTGTGCATGGTAGGCAAAGTCTCTACCAACTAAGCTACAGCCTCAGCCCAGGGTTTTTTAAATTTGTTTGTTTGTTTGTTTTTTGAGACAGGGTTTCTCTGTGTAGCTTTGGAGCCCGTCCTGGATCTCCCTCTGTAGACCAGGCTGACCTCGAACTCACAGAGATCCGTTGCCTCTACCTCCCAAGTGCTGGGATTAAAGACATGCGCCACCACCACCCAGCTGGGTTTTTAAATTTTAAGACAGAGTCTTGCTGTGTGTCCAAAAGTGGCCTCAAACTGGAAATCCCTGCCTCAGCTTCCTGAGTGCTGAGATTACAGGCATGACGACCACATCTGGTTTTGTGCTTTGCTAGGTATCAAACTCAGAGCTTTTTGCATGGTAGGCAAACACTACTGACTGAGCCACAAGCCCAGTCCCCTGGCTTTTATTCTCTTAATCACTGTGAGTTAATGCTGGGCCAGCAGGCTGGCCCAGCTACTTACTTGTTCCTTAACATCCTTCTGGGGAAATTCCTAGGCCCTGGCTTCCATCCACATTTGGGAAAAGGGGCCAGAGTGAGGGACTGTAACGAAAGCACATTTTTCTCTGCTCTGCTCTAGTTAAACCAGAGATTGCCCAGGTCGGGGCCAAGTATCAGGAAGGTCAGGGCCCAGGCCTTCTGGTTGTCCTGTTTGCCCTGGTGCGGGCCAACCCGCCTGCCAATGTCACCTGGATTGACCAGGATGGGTCAGTGACTGTGAATGCCTCTGACTTCCTGGTGCTGGATGCTCAGAACTATCCCTGGCTCACAAACCACACCGTGCACCTGCAGCTCCACAGCCTGGCACACAACCTCTCAGTGGTGGCTACCAATGATGTGGGTGTCACCAGTGCCTCACTTCCGGCTCCAGGTAAGCCACTGGCCTGGCAAACCCTCGGGTGGGTGCCGGGGTCCTGGAATGGAAAGGGAGGCCTTGTTGCCCCGTGGGTGGGTCTTGTGCATGAGTTGTTCCCAGCCACCTTGGGCAAGGGCGGAGTAGTTGGAGCTATGGCATGTCAGGGTCGGGGGTGATGCTCACTTGCAAACTAACCAGTGACTAACCAGTGGACAATCTGCAGGGCTCCTGGCCTCCCGAGTGGAAGTGCCACTGCTGGGCATCGTTGTGGCTGGAGGGCTTGCCTTGGGCACTCTAGTGGGGTTCAGTACCTTGGTGGCCTGCCTGGTCTGCAGGAAAGAGAGGAAAACTAAAGGTAGGGTCAGAGGCAGTGGAGGCTGAGGGTGGTGGAAGAGTGACAGTGAAGTTGGGGGGTGGCAGGCAGAGCTGGGCAGAGCCCGCCATCTCTGCCATGTGGCAGAGCACTTGCTGGGCAGGGCTGGGGGTGTGGCTGCCTGCCCTGCAGACAGCAGGGACAGGTACTGGAGCTGTCTCCGGTCCCAGGACCAGGCCTGGGCATTTGAGAGACTCTTGGCTCAAGGGTCTTGAGTCTGAACGGGCAGGGGGCAGAGCCCAGCATGGGAGGGCACACTGACTCTGTGGCATGGTTTCTTTGTCCTCAGGCCCCTCCCGGCGCCCATCTCTGATATCTAGGTAATGCTTCCTGGGGCTGGGCAGATGGGCTAAACTAAAATGCAAGGCACTGGATTTGAAACTAAAGGACAGGTGGTAACCTGGGCTTCTGGGAGGTCTGGATTGAGCCTCAAAGCAGACTGCGTGCCTGCTGGTACCAGGGTCTGTCTCAGCCTTTGTCTCTCCTGTAGTGACTCCAATAACCTGAAACTGAATAATGTACGCCTGCCGCGTGAGAACATGTCCCTCCCATCCAACCTTCAGCTCAATGACCTCACTCCGGATCTCAGAGGTATGCCTGGGACCAGTTCCCTCCCTGGGCTTAATCTTTAGAACTTCTAAGAGAGAGAGCCCCCGGTTCTTAGGAGGACATGTGTCCCTTTAGGCCAAGCCCTGTCTTGGCACCACCCCATCTGTTACCCAACAGGGAAAGCAACAGAGCGGCCAGTGGCTCAGCACAGCAGCCGTCCAGAGCTTCTAGAAGCCGAGCATGGTGGACTCCTCACCAGCCAAGGTACTGAGCGGGGCCCTGCTGTTCTCCTTAGCTCCTCTTCACATCCCTGTGCTCATACCCAACACCCCTGGGTGCTGGGGCAGAAAGGGCTCTCCCAAGCTCCAGAGAACCAACGTCACTAAGCCCTTGGCATCTCTGACACACAGGCTTCATCCGTCTCCCGATGTTGGGCTACATCTACCGGGTGTCCAGTGTAAGCAGTGATGAGATCTGGCTCTGAGCTTGAGGGTGAGGCATGAGGCCCAGGCGGCTTGTGGATTCCCCAGAGCACCCCACTCCAGTGTCTCCTTCAAGCCTTCCTCTGCCTGGCCATGTTGTGACCATGAAGAAGCCATGCCACTGCCACATGGCCCTCCTGGTAGGGGTACCCTGTGGGTCATGCATGATGGATTTTATTACACTCTAACCTGAAAGGCATGGTCTAGCCTTGGCAAAACCATTGGTCAGAGCTAGGCCCCTTGTACTCACTCAGTCTGGGGTCTTGCATGTGATAGCTGGGCCCAGGCAGATGGAACCTGGTATGTTCAGGTGTCACCCCACATGTAAGAGGTTGGCCTACTATGTGCTCCACACTGGTGTCCTCTGTACCTCATACAGTAGGCAGAGGGATGCTTGTGTGGGGGACAGGAGGGTCCCTGCACAGCTCGGATGTATGTCCTGCCTATGCTATGCAGCTTTTTCCCTCAGGGAAACTATCCCCCTGCTAGTCGTAGAGAACCAGACTGCCCTTTGCTCAGGAACCGACCCCTTGCCCAGGGACCTGGCCAAGCACAAATTAGCCCCTTTTGCTGCATATCTCTCTGCCCTTCTGTCCCCGTCTCCTCTTGGGCATCAAAGGTCATACACTAGACCTTCTTCTTCACTGGGCATTAGACTTCCACTGGCTGGAGCCCCCGGGTGCCAGCCTCTGGTGTTAGCACAAGATGAGCGGGAGGAGGGGACAGGTTGGCTGGCTCCCAGGACGGCGTGTAGCTATGCATCGTTTTATACAAGTGTTCCCACTTTAAGCACATTCCCCAGGGAAAGAAGGGCCCATGGCTTTCTCAGGCTCCCCATGTTTGGCCTTCAGCAATTCACTGTGTTCTGAGCACTCAGGATTAATGGTTTCTCTCTCTGCATGCCTCTCCCCCATGCAGCAACATCCCTGACCAGTCCCTGGCTGCCCCACCCTATTTAGGAGATGGTCACAGTGGGCATGTAAGTCAACAGTGCCAGAAGATTTAGGGACATAGAGAAATCAGGAACCCACATAACCCCAAGGAGCTAAGAATGCTTTTAAACAGCAACATGTAAATGACCGGAGAGCAATAGAGTACAGAGTCTATTTTCCCTTCTTGGTATCTTGTTTTGTAATTTTTCTCTTGTTACTGCTTCGTGCTGCACACACAGTAAACTACCTTGACTGAATAAGTATGTCTTTGTTCATCCCTTCAACACTTTTTAATTTGTGTTTGTTTTTTGAGATAAGGACTCATGTAGTGTAGGTTAGCCTTGAATTCACTACTGGACAGAGGAGGATCAATAACCTTGAACGTCTGATCTGCCTGCCTCCACAATGTACATGGGATTACAGCCAGGTACCACCACCCTGGTTTTCCAAGTAAGTTTTAGAATGAATCCCACCCCCTTTCTTTTTGCTGTGCTAATGACGGAACCCAAGGCTTGGTGCATGCCACACAAGTGCTCAGCTACTAATCTACACTGCCAGTGTATACACAGCCTTCTCCCTCCCTCTCTTTTAAACATTTCCAACAGTTTTACAATCACAAAATAGCACACAGGATGTGCAAAACACATCCTGTACAAAACACAACAGATTCAAACAGAGGGAAAACACAGAGCACTTCACCAATGTGTGTGTCATACTTGTGTAGGGGGTCATGCCAATCTTCTCTGTACTAAGTGAGTTTTCAGTCACAGCAAGCGCCTGTGTACCCCCAGGAGCAGCAGTTCAGCCATGCCAATCTTCTCTGTACTAAGTGAGTTTTCAGTCACAGCAAGCGCCTGTGTACCCCCAGGAGCAGCAGTTCAGCCATGCCAATCTTCTCTGTACTGAGTTTTCAGTCACAGCAAGCACCTGTGTACCCCCAGGAGCAGCAGTTCAGTGTCTGTTAGTTTAACATGGAACATTAACTACCATGGGTAAGAACCACAGCCAAGGTGGTCTGTTCCCTGAAAACCTAATGCAGTATCTGAGCTCCTATCCCAGCACACCTCCCCTCCAGTTAAACACTAACACTGATGCTAAGAGAACAGAACAGACTGCCTGGCCTCATGTCCAAGTGAGCAGCACCAAAGCCTCCAGCCTGACGTGATCACAGATGGTTTGCGTTCGTAGAAACGTGACCTATCGTCTGTGTGTGTTGGTCTGTCAGGCTGACAGTGGAACCTTCCCCCTAATCCATCGAGGTCCCACTTGCTTCCCGTCAGTACTTGGCTCCATTATCCATTAATACAGTTGCTTACGCCCAAGCTGCCTTTCTCTCCATCCGCCATGTCTAGTCTCTATCAGGCTCTGTTGGCTCTACCTCTACTGGCCTGTTTCTCCAGAGCAGGGAATACTGAAGGAGCAAGCAGACGGGCCTTGCTAGCTTTCCCTCCCCAGCATCTAGCAATCGATTACAGTCTTTGGGGCTAGTCTTATTTCTCATATTTGTCCTGGAGTCAGTCAAGCTTGTGCAACGAGGTCCCCATAAAAATTCCAGAAGACGGGGCTCAGAGCTTCCAAACACACACACACACACACACACACACACACACACACACACACACACACAATTCCTTGTTCTCGTGCTCCTGGCCTGCATTCGTGTCTGTCACAGGAGGCAGGCAGGGGAGAGAGGAAGCAACAGCTTTGCTCAAAGTCCCTGCAGTGATGGATGAGGCTCTGCAATCTTTCTTAGCCCTCAGCATCCAGCCACAGCCAACTCCTGTCCTAGGTACCAATCTTTAACTTCCATCAGTTCCTATTCTCCCTTGTTTTACTGTTTTCCCACGCCAAACTTTTTAAAAATTACATGTGTGTTGTGTGTATATTCATGCAAGTGCATGTGGCTACCAGAAAAAGTTCTCTCCTTTTCCTTGTGAGTTCCAGGGACTGAACTCGGGTTGGCAGGCTCTGTGGCAAGCACCTTTACCTGCTGTACCATCTTGCACATACTTTTGTAACCACTTTGTTATGTTCAATATCCTCTGTTAAAACAATTAGAACGGTTTCAGGTTTCCTGACAGGACAGTGGCTGATAGCACTCCAGCAGACCAGGCTGGACTTGAACTCACAGAGATCCCCCTGCCTCTGTCTCCCAAGTGCTGGGATTAAAGGCCTTGCCTGTGCTTCTTAACACCCACCAGTAAGTTAGGTGTCCCCACAACCTGCTCCTCGGGTTTCATCAGCTTGCAGAACTCAGAGAAACACCTTTCCCAGATTCTCATAAAGGACACTCAAAGGATACAGGTGAAGGGGTGGACAGTGGGCATGGTGACTCAGGTCTGTAATCCTCACACCCAGGAGGCAAAGGGAAGAGAATAATGAGTTCATGCTAGCCTGAGCTACACAGTGAATTACAGACCACTCTGGGCTGTACAGACACCCTGTCTAAAATAAACTAGTAAGATTATTTTAAAATTAAAAAAGACACGTAAGATGCATGCCACCTTCTCAGAACCTCCCTGCCTCTGTCTGAAAGTTCTCCACGCCCTGACGTTTGAAGTTTCCACGGAGACTGACTTCACACAAAGGCACAGCTGAAACATGGACTGCTGGGCTGACATGTGACCGGGCAAAAATGGTCTGATCTAATACTGTGGATTTGTGGGGCGTGGGGTCTGGAAATTCCGCAGTATTGCTTCCTTGCTAAGAAGGGGCAAGACCTCATCTAAATGAGGGTCTTGATCTATTATCATCAGCCAAGTGGGTCAAAGGATTTGAGAATAAGCTGGGCTTGGCTGAAGATGTCTGTAAGCCTCAACCTGGGAGGTGGAGGTAGATAGAGGCAGGAAGATCAAGTTTTCAAGACTAGTCTGCACAGCCAGTTCAAAGCCAGCCTGGGTTACATGAGACCCTGTCTCATACCCCCAACAAAAGAAAAATAGAAGAAGGTAAGACTGTAAGGGCGAATATCCACAACTTGCCTTGAGGAAGAGATTCAGTCTTTGTGGCTGCTTGGGGAGAAAAGAGAGCAGGCGAAAGGGGGAGGGAGTCAGAGACAGGAAGACCGAGTCCAAAGGCAGAGGCAGGCCCGAGCTCTAGCCTAGTCACGCTGGAAATCACCAGGACAGTGGGGGAGGAATGAGTCAGGAGCCGTGGGTGAAAACCAAATATATATTCTATCACAACCTGACAGAACATTCTTCCAGTTAACTAAAGAGTGTTTTTGGAAGCTCCACCCCCAACCTGTGTCCTATGGCTCTCCAAAATCCGGTTCTTCTAACTCAGATGCCCAGAGCAGTGTGGCCACGTCCTTCCTTGGGGAAGGCAATCGGAGGTGGGTGGAAGGAGCCCAGTGGTAAATGTGTGCCCTGCGCTTGCCGACGGGCAGCAGGACCTGTGCTGCCCGAGCTAGCTGTGGGGCAGGCAGATGTTAAGCTCCACCAAAGCCCATGTCTTCATCTGACTTTGAAGCAGCCCTAGGAGGCGGCTCAGATGAAAGTCAGTGTCTCTGCATCCCCAGCCTGGGAGGCCGAGTTGGAGGGAGGGGTGAATGCTTTCTTGCCTTCAGCGAGAGCTTTAAAATGCTGCAAGAAAAGGGAGAGGACAGAGTTTGGAACATGCCAGTTGCTACATTTTAACAAGGATGACTACTTTAAAACCCCTTTAAGCCAAACTGAGCAAGGTGGCACAGGCTTGGAATCCTAGCAACTGGGAGGATGAGGCAGGAGGATCACTGTGAGTTCAAAACTAGCCTGGGTTACACCATCATTTCCAGGTCAGCCTTGGCCACAGTGAGACATGTCCAAAAACATGTCCTAAGTCTACTTCCAACTAATGCATTGGTTTATCTTTGAAAGAGACAGTGATGTACCCATCCCTTCAAAACAATCCCGTGTCTGTCTCCTCCCTGCTCGCATTCCTGAGGCCGCCTGCTTCTGTGTGCCTCCTCACTAAGTTCTGTTTAAGCCCATCCTCTCTTCCTCCCACACCCCAGTCTCCTCTGCTGCTCACATAATCATGTAACAGGCACTGTGACCCCAACGGGAACACAGGCACAGCAGGGCCCTGGACAGCCTGTCTCACCTGGGAGTTCTTGAATTCTGAGTAGAGGGAAAAGAGGAGGTGGAGGGACTGAATGCGGCTCTTGTAGAAAGGAATGTCCAGGATAGCTGTAACAGAGAAGAGCTCACAGGGACAGACGCCAACACACTCCAGAACTGGAGGCACTTCTGTTCCGGATGCCTCTCCTCTCCCAAATGGGACATGTTACTTTGGGGTTCAATGTTCAGCCCCAACACCACCCTAGAGGGCTGCCAACAGTACAGCTGGCTTCCAGTGAAGACTGTAAATCAAGATACCACTGTACAGGGATCAGCAAGCCCTTCCAAAGGCCCAGAACGCAGCTGCCAGAGACAGGGTAGAGGCAGGGAGGAGCTCACCACAGATCATGTCGATGTACTCGGCCAGGCTGCAGTCAATCTCAACGGTGGGCAGACTCACCTGACAGCAACACAGGATGGACACAGTCAAAAGGCTCAAGAGGGCCTTTAAGCCCAACACTTGGGAGACAAAACTCATGGACAGATCTCTACCAGTTCCAGGATAGCCTGGTCTACATAGTAAGTTCCAGGCCATCTGCACCTCCATTGTGAAATTGTCAAAAGCAAACAAACAAAAAAAGGGACTGGAAGCCGGGCAGTGGTGGCACAGGACTTTAATCCCAGCACTCGGGAGGCAGAGCCAGGCGGATCTCCGTGAGTTCGAGGCCAACCTGGGCTACAGGGTGAGTTTCAGGAAAAGCACCAAAGCTACACAGAGAAACCCTGTCTTGAAAAAAACCAAAAAAAAAAAAAAAAAAGAAAAAGAAAAAGAAAAACAAAACACTAAAAATAGACAATAAAAATATATGACTCAGCTCTACTACTCCTGGGCACATGCCCAAAAGGTTGCCTACTACAGACACACTCACTCATAAATGTTTATTGCTGATTTATTCACAATGGCCAGGAAATGGATTCAGTCTAGATGTCCATCAACAGATGAATGGATAGTGAAAATGGGTACCTATTCACAACAGAATTTCGTTTAGCCACAAAGAAAGATGAAATGAAATATACAGGAACATGGACAGACAAATAACATATGTCCTCTCATTTTCAGTTTTGTAAATGTGTACTTCTGTGAGCGTGAGTGTTGGAAGAGGCTAGGAAATGAGAAAGGGGCCCTTGAGAAGGGAAAAACGAGGGTGTGAGTGAGTGGAAAG